GTGTCGGGGGCTCGCACTTGCTATCTAAGAGCAATTGCTTGCCCCGGTCCCCAAGGCTCCGCTCAGACATTAGGTGGCTTAGATACTCAGGATCTGGGCCTTCGGCTGATGCTGTGCAACGCCAGGTCCGTGGTAAATAAGGCCCCCCTCATTCACGATCTTATTCAAGAGGGAGGAGCGGACCTGGCGGGTATTACGGAGACCTGGTTGGGCCCGGAGGGCGGCGTCCCTCTGGTTGAAATGTGCCCACCAGGCTTCAGAGCATTCCATCAGCCGAGGGCCCAGGGGAGGGGCGGGGGGGGTGGCTGTTATTATTAATGAGGATCTGGGTCCGAGGGAGACCACTGTGCCTCAGATAGCCGGATGTGAGTCCCTCCTTGTGACGTGGGGTCATGGGGTTCAGATGAGCTTGTTGCTTACGTACCTGGCTCCCTGCCGCGTGGCAACAGCCCTACCTGAGCTACTCGACGTGATAGCCATGGTGGCAGTAGATACACCCAGGCTTTTAGTCATGGGTGATTTCAACTTGCCATCCGTTGGTGAAACGTCTGAGGTGGCTCGGGAGTTCATGGCTTCCATGACGGCCATGGACCTGACCCAGTTAGTTCATGGCCCTACTCACAGGGGAGGTCACACTCTGGACCTGATTTTTGTCTCTGGCCAGTGGTTGAGTGGTCTTGTTATTGGGGATATAGACATGGAACCCTTGTCATGGACAGACCACTCACTCCTTCGCCTAGATCTTCGAACCGCTGCCCCCCGCCGCAGGGAGGCGGATCCAATTAGATGGATCCGCCCCAGGCGCCTGATGGATCCTGATAGGTTCCAGATGGAGCTTGGGCCATTTCCTGAGGTTCTAGTACATGACTCGGCCGAGGACCTGGTAGCCGCCTGGGATTGGGCGGCTAGTGGGGCCTTGGACCGAGTCGTGCCTTTGCGGCCTCTGACCCGGTGCCGATCCCATGCAGCTCCTTGGTTTACTGAGGAGCTGAGGGAAATGAAGCACCGGAAAAGACGCCTGGAGAGCGGTTGGAGGGCCAGTCTTGCTGAATCTGATCGAACACTGGTAAGGTCGCATATTAAGACCTACCTAGTGGCGATAAAGACAGCAAAGTTTAATTACTTTTCCGCCTCTATTGCATCATCACGGAATCGTCCGACCGCCCTGTTTAGGGTGACCCGCTCCCTGCTCCATCCGGGAGCGCGGGACGATCCCTTGGAAGGCATGGGGAGGATTTCGGACAATACCTGTATGACAAAATCGCTCAGATCCAGGGGGATTTGGACTCTGACTGGGTAGATCAGGGCAGAGTGACGAGAAATAGTCTTGAGAATGTTATCTGGGAGGAGTTTGACGCTGTGACTCCCGATGATGTGGACAGGATTTTGGGGAGACTTAGTGCGGCCACATGTTTACTGGACCCGTGTCCCTCCTGGTTGGTACTGGCTTCCCGGGAGGTTACACGAGGCTGGCTCCAGGGTGTTATCAACGCTTCGCTGAGTGAGGGCCACTTCCCCGCTGCCTTGAAGGAGGCGGTGGTGAGGCCTCTCCTCAAGAAGCCATCCCTGGATCCGGCAATATTGGCCAACTACAGTCCTGTCTCCAACCTTCGCTTCATGGCGAAGATTGTGGAGAGTGTGGTCACGTGACAGTTCCCACAATTCCTGGAGGAAACATCTTATCTAGATCCGTTCCAGTCAGGTTTCAGGTCTGGGCACAGCACGGAAACGGCATTGGTCGCGTTGGTTGATGATCTCTGGAGGGCTCGGGACAGGGGTTGCTCCTCTGTTCTGGTCCTGTTAGATCTCTCAGCGGCTTTTGATACCATCGACCATGGTATCATGCTGCACCAGCTGGAAGAGTTCGGGGTGGGAGGCACCGTGTTGCGGTGGTTCTCCTCCTTTCTCTCCGACCGGTCGCAGTTTGTGTTGGCAGGGGGGCAGAGGTCGACCTCGAGGCCTCTCATCTGTGGAGTGCCGCAGGGATCGGTCCTCTCGCCCCTTCTGTTCAACATTTATGTAAAGCCGCTGGGCGAGATCATCCGTGGCTTCGGGATGAGATACCACCAGTACGCTGATGACACCCAGCTGTACATCTCCACCCCAGGCCACCCCAATGATGCCCTTGAAGTGATGTCTCAGTGCCTGGAGGCTGTGCGGATCTGGATGGGGAGGAACAGGCTCAAGCTCAACCCTTCCAAGACTGAGTGGCTGTGGCTCCTGGCATCCCGATATAGTCAGTTGACTCCATCACTGACTATTGGGGGCGAGTCCTTGGCCTCCACAGAAAGGGTTCGCAATCTGGGAGTCCTCCTGGATATGCAGCTGTCCTTGGAGGAACATCTGACAGCTGTAACCAGGGGGACCTTTTGTCAGGTTCGTCTGATTCGCCAGTTGCGGCCCTTTCTTGATCGGGATTCCCTGTGCACAGTCACTCATGTCCTCGTCACCTCTCGCCTTGACTACTGCAACGCTCTCTAAATGGGGCTCCCCTTGAAGAGCACCCGGAGGCTCCAACCGGTCCAGAATGCAGCAGCGCGGGTAGTGACGGGAGCAGCATGGCGCTCCCATGTAGCACCGCTCCTGCGTGAGCTGCACTGGCTCCCGGTGGTCTTCCGGGTGCGCTTCAAGGTGCTGGTTATCACCTTTAAAGCACTCCATGGCATCGGGCCTAGCTATCTTCGAGACCGCCTGCTGCTACCGACGACCTCCCATCGTCCCGTGCGCTCCCACAGAGAGGGCCTCCTCAGGGTGCCATCAGCCAATCAATGTAGGCTGGTGACCCCCAGGGGGAGGGCCTTCTCTGTGGGGGCACCTACCCTCTGGAATCAGTTGCCCCCAGAGATAAGGAGAATCCAAGACCTTAGTGCCTTCCGCCGTGCCCTTAAAACCCACTTTTTCCAGCAAGCCGGGCTGGCTTAAGAAGAAATTTTAAATGTTTTAATGGGTTTGTATTTTTAATTTTGGGCCAAATTTATATATATTTTAATTGTTTTTTAATATTTGTATTTTATGTTTTTTAATTCTGGCTGTACACCGCCCTGAGTCCTCAGGGAGAAGGGCGGTATATAAATTTAAAATAAATAAATAAATAAATAAATAAATAAATAAATAAATAAATAATAGAATTGTTTAGATTAAGATGCTAGAATTTATGTTTAAAAAAAATTATGTTTTGATTTCTACCTTTAAAAGATGTAATGGGAAATTGTGAATGGAGCTTGTTAAAGAAATGTAAGCGTTGTACCTATCTATGACAGGATAGAGACTTCGTTCTTGAAAGATATATTTTATGTTTATGTCTGAAAAAATAAAAAAATATTTAAAAAAAAAGAAAAAAAGACTTTTTTTCTGAAGCTCTGTTTGGAGGCTTTTTTTCTGAAGCTTCTTTCAGAGGCTTTCTTTCTGAAGCTTCTTTCAGAGGCTCCATTCAGCCTCTGAAATCTCCATTTGCAAGACTGGGCGGGGCTACATTCAGAGTATAAGACGGACCCAGATTTTCACCCTCTTTTTGGGGGGGAAGAAGGTGCGTCTTATACTCCAAAAAATACGGGTAAGTCATTTCATTTCTCTTGGAGCTGGATATTGGCTAAGCAGGTCCTATGGAACTGAAGTAGGTCTGGCTTTATTATCTGGAAAGAATTTGAGCCAGTTGCTCCCAAGGAAGTATACAGGATCCTTGGAGCCATGGGTTCTGCTAGACCCATCACCTTTCAGGTTGGTTAAGGCCTCTTGTGAGATTGCATAGACCAAAATGGTGATTAATGACTTTTTACAGGAAATATTGGGACCACCTTTCTTGAAGGAGGTATGATATACCCCCTTCTTTTGAGGCTATCCTTAGATTCAACCATATTAGACAACTTTATCCAGTCTCCATCCCTCCTCTTGTTACATAAGGTTGTTATGGATAATACTCTATGGTCCTAGATGAAGTGGATTATATCTATATTAACTTTTCAGTCAGAATTCAAGTAGTGTTACAGCACTAGGACAGCACTTGTGGATGACCTATGGAACAGTGGTGGGTTGCTTCCGGTTCGCACCGGTTCGCAAGAACTGGTAATAAAAATTTGTAGTAGTTCAGAGAACTGGTAATAACATTGGCTGGCCATGCCCCCGAACCGGTCCCTGGCCCGGTCGCCATTCGCTTACCCCGCCCACCTCATCAGAGGCTTTTTTTTTTTTTACTTTTAAAAGCATTTTTTTCTACAACTTCTTTTTTCCTACAATCTCTGATGATCGCACAGCTCAACTGGGATCATCAGAGGCTTTTAAAAGCATTTTTTCTACAACTTCTTTGGCCAAAGAGATTGTAGAAAAAAAAATGCCTTTAAAAGCCTCTGGCGATCACAGCCAAGTTGCCTGATCGTCAGAGGCTTTTAAAAGCATTTTTTTTCTGCAGCCTCTTAAGGTTGTGGAAAAAATGATTTTAAAAGTTAAAAAAAAAAAAAGGTGGCCACGCCAATCCAGTCACATTACCCCCTTCAAGCCACACCCACAAAATAAGCCACGCCCAAAGAACCGGTAGAAAAATATTTTAGAATCCACCCGTGGTATGGAAGGTCCAGGATGAGAATGGTGCTGGCCCTCCTAGATCCCTCAACAGCATTCAATATCACCAAAAATGGCCTCCCTTCTGGATTGGCTTTCAAGAGTGGGAATGGAGGCACTATAATGGTTCTCCTTCCTCTGTGGCAGGTTCTAGTTGGAGTTGCTGGGAGATGACAGGTCAAGCCCTAGACCCTTCAATGTGGGGTGCTCAGTGTTCAGATCTTTTGTTCCTTACATGACATCTCTGGAATATATATCATCCAAAGGCATTGGGTACAGTATCATCAATACACTGATGATACCTACCTATATATCTCCAGCACAGGTGAACCAAGAATATATAAACCCAAGAAGTAATTTATTTAAAAATGTGAATATAAAGATATAGATATGAAATATTTTGATAGCTGATAATTACATATAATCGTTCCTAATTTATCACTTACCAGCTTGCTGTATTTCATCCGGAGTTACCAGTTGATTTAGCATTTGAAGTAACTCAAGTTTTTGTCTCTCTGGCAATTTTCCTATCTCATTGAAAAAATACAAGTTAGAGTTTTGTTAGGAATATAATTTATGGAATCAATGCTTTGTCAATTAGATCAAAGGCTAATAATATAGGAAAACAAAATATATTTTGAGATAAGATAGCCATTCCTAACTCATCCTTGTGCTTCCTCCTATATTTCTATTCAGGATAGCTGTCTGGGATACTGGTAATAAAATTATGGATTTCTTTTTAAGCAAGAGAAAATTCTCCAGAGCAAGATACTTATACTTCTGCACAATTATACTTTATTTCAAAATCATATTTAGATATTCCTTTTATCTAATATTTTGCACTACAACCACAAATGTTCTTTTTAACAATAATAGGCTCCAAGCATAGTAAGATTCAATTGAAATTGTATTGTTTATTTAATTCAGGATATGGAAAAATATTTTCTTGATTAGAGCTTTAGGCTTAGCATAAAACTTTGATACGATAGTGCTGATTGCTTACTGACCAAATTGTATCCCAAATGGTATTACCATGTGATTAGTAAGGAGTGCTACATGTGGCTAGGCTGTAACTAAAGTAAGTAACCTAGACTATACTTTATCTTATTAAGAAGTATTACGTGAAGTCCTCAGTTGACCAAGGACATGATAGGAAACAAAGATCAAAATATGTGAGCCCATCTAGTGATGACTGCAGGATATGAAAGATTGAAAGTTAGAGTTAGGGTTAGGAGTTAGGAGAAAGTATGAATTACTACAAAAAATGAAATGAAATTAATAAAATAGATGTAGTATGAATCTATAAAATTAAGAAGAAAAAGAAATGTGGTATTGTAAAAAGTAGAATCTGTACACAAGATATATGGAAGAAAAAGAAATGAAAGATAAGTGAAACAATTACCGTATTTTCCAGGATATAAGACGACTTTTTAACACATGAAAATCTTCTCAAAAGTCAGGGGTCGTCTTATACGCCGGGTGTCGTTCTCCTGTAACCAGGTAGACCAGCCCGAACGGCTCTGACGAGCCTTAAATGGCTCTGGCAACCCAAGCTCTGACGATCTGCTAATCAGGCAACTCCGCTGGGATCGCCAGAGCCATGGAAAAGGAAAAAACTTTTCTCCTTTCACATGGCTCTGACGTTCCAACCTCTGACGATCTGCTAATCAGGCAACTCCGCTGGGATCGCCAGCAAAACAAAGCTGGCTGAGGAATTCTGGGAGTTGAAGTCTACAATTCTTAAAGTTGCCAAGGTTGGAGACCCCTGTTCTATTGGGTAAGTTTTTTCCCCTTTGGGATCTTTAAAAAAAATAGTTAATTGGGGTTTTTTTTAGTTGTTCTTTTTTAGACCTAGCCATTTAAAGTTTAGGAAGTTTTAAATTTAGCTTTCATATAAAAATAAAAATAAAATAAAATAATATTTGTGCAGCTTTCTGAGATTTAGTGTGTTTTTGTAGTGTTTCACTCTAACTACACAAACACACAAAATCTCACAAAGCTGCATGTGGAATTTTGTGTGTGTAAAGTGTGAAAGTTGGGTTTTGGGGCTTTTTGTGGCTGTGTGAGGTTCCTGCTTGTCTCAGAGGCCATTTTGGGTCTAGCACAGCTGCTTTTACATTGTGGGTGAGCCAGTTGATGTTTTTTAATTTTTATTTGGTGTGCATTGGAAGAGGGGTAGTCTTATACGGTGAGTATAGCCCAAACCCTATATTTTAACAGGAAAATTTGGGGGTCGTCTTATACGCCCAGTCGTCTTATATGCCGGAAAATACGGTATAGCAAGACAAAATTAATTCTTTAGTTAAAAATACTTGAAGACAAATTAATCTCCCAACAAAACAAATAGGAAGAGGATAAGAAAGATGTTTAGAACAGAGTGAAAAGAATTCTGTTAGAGACTGCCAGGGAAGTAAATAGACTTTTAGTAGTAGCATGTATCAAAAGGATGAATGATGAAATAATGAATGAAAGAAATGAATGAATGAATGAATGATGACCAATCGGAAAGAAATAAGCTCAGGTGTCTTGGTAATATATAGAATGAATGAGGATCAAATTTTAAAGCAATACATGAAGGAAGACTGAAGAAAGATTCAAAGAAAGGCAAAGATCAGAAAATTGTGTTTTGGATCAAACCAATGAGTTCCTGAGTTTAACAAATAGTAAGCAATATATAGAATGGATTATGGACACTGTGACAGCAATGCTGATTTGTAAAAATGGAAAGATAAAGCCAAATAGTATTGGTAAAAAGTAGTTTTAGCAGTATTTCTTACTCTCATGACTTCTGTTATTTTAGTTTATTTTTTTATTCCTTAAGTCGTTTTCTGCAGATTCTTATTCCGAAAGGGAATAGCATGATGGGTATATAGCATATGTTTGCAATTCTGTATCCATGTTAAAGTCCCTGAAGGGCTAAAAAGTATTGGCCATTTACATTCCTTAAAATCCCATAGGCTGATCATGGCAATCATTTCCTGCATGTCAGTACAGAAATTTTGATGAATGCGAAGAATCACTGCTAAAAAGTGGTGATTCAAATGCCTGCATAATTTTTTCTAGATTAATGGTAGATCAATCTTGATAAATAAACTGTTCTATGGAAAATACCTGGCAATGTGCTATTTATGTTATTACCCCTATAAATAAATAACAGTATCTCCTCATATAAAATACAAAATATTCCTATATTTGCATAATATATATATGATTATTGATTTTTAGTCAGAAGTGGTGCTGTACAGAATAGATACTGTATTTAATAGTTCAGGTACTATTTAATTTATTACAAGTATAGCATAAATATTTTTCTATTAAAATATACATGCAGTATGTGTGTGTGTATATAAATATATAATAGAAGAGGTGTTGGACTTACCGTGAACGCCGTTTCTCCGAAGGGTGCAGAGTGGGTCAGGAGTGGGATGATCAATCTGGTCTGGCCAATCAGTGAGTCAAATTACTTTGGCCACGCCTCCTTGGGCCTCCATTGCTCCGAGTTTGTTCAACGAATGCAGATCTGCAAGACAGGCTCCAGCAAAATGACAAAGGAACCAAGAAACAATCGCAGGTGAGAGGGGCTGACCCACTCTGCACCCTTTGGAGAAATGGCGTTCACGGTAAGTCCAACGCCTCTTCTCCCATAAGGCTGCAGAGTGGGTCAGGAGTGGGACATACCCAAGCTTGTCAGCCGTACGGGTGGGAATCCTGTGATCTAAGGAGCCGTGGTGCCAGGTGTACCTGCTGAAGGACCCTCCTGCCGAACGAAGCCTCTGCAGATGCGAAGACATCCACACGGTACTGCTTAATAAAGGGGACAGGAGTAGTCCAGGTAGCTGCCCGGCAAATTTCTTCGAGGGAGGCCCGCGTGGCCCAAGCAGCGGTGGTAGCTGCACTGCGGGTGGAATGAGCAGTGATATGCCTTGGAGGAGGAAGAGATCGTGATTCATAGGCACGGGAAATACAAGCACGGATCCACCGCCCTATGGTGGTCAAGAACACCTTTGATCCCAGTGAAGCCAGTTGGAACGAGATGAACAAGGCCTCAGAATGCCTTGTCGAGGCGGTCCGCGAGACATAGATTTTAATAGCTCTGCGGACGTCGAGCGTGTGCCATTTGCGTTCTAATCGATGGGTAGGATTGGGACAGAAATTTGGAAGGATAACCTCCTGCTCACGATGGAATCGAGAGTTAATTTTTGGTACGAATGCTGGATCCAAACGAAGGATTACTTGATCTGGATGCATAATACACAAGTCTGGCCTGATGGAAAGGGCCGCTAACTCTGAGATTCGGCGGGCTGAGGTTATGGCCACCAGGAAGGCTTTCAAGGTAAGGAACCTAAAGCTGGAAGTTCGGACAGGTTCAGTAAGTGCTGTTAATACTTGCGATAAGTCCCATGTGGGGTATCAGTGAACTATGGGAGGGCGAAGGTTTCGGACCCCACACAAAAACCTTCGAACAGTGGAATGCTGAGACAAGGTTATGCCGTTCCTGGGTGGCAACACCGTGGCGAGAGCTGCAACATGGCGCTTCAGGGTGTTATGCGCCAGCCCCTTGCGGTATCCATCATGGAGGAACTCCAGTACCTGCGGAACAGAAGCTGACAAGGGATTAATTCCGTGCGCCGAGCACCAAGAAATAAATACCTTCCACGTGATGTTGTAGAGTCTGATGGTGGACTCCTTTCTGTCTGCCTGCATAACACGGATGACATTCTCAGAGTAATGTGCCTCCTTCAGGAGGAGTTCCTCAAGAGCCAGGTGGTCAGGATGAGCCACTGGGGCTCCGGATGGTTGACTTCCCCCTGTCTGAGGGACACTCTCTCTGAGGGAGCCGCCAATGGTGAGCTGATGATAGCGCTACGAGGTTCGAGAACCAAGGCCTTCTCGGCCAGTAAGGGGTGACGAGGATGATATCTGCTCCCTCTGCAATGATCTTGCGTATCACCCGTGGGATTAGTGGCAGAGGGGGGGACGCATAAAGAAGTTCCCGAGGTCAGGGGCAGCGCAGTGCATTCGTGTTCTCCGCTCCCGGCGTTGGATAGCAGGTGAAGTAGCGTGGAAGCTGAGCGTTCTCTGGGGCGGCGAATAGGTCTACCTGAGGAAGTCCAAAGCAAAGACAAATGGCTTGAAAAAGATCGGGACAAAGGCGCCACTCTGATGCGTCCACCGTTGTCCGGCTCAGGAAGTCTGCCTGTAGATTGTCCTTCCCCGCAATGTGATCCGCCTGGAGATATAGATGAGCCTCCGCCCACCGCCCGAGTAGAGCCTCCTGCATCAGGGTTTTAGATTTGGTCCCGCCCTGGCGATTTACGTGGGCTTTTGTCATCACATTGTCGGTAAGGACTAGCAGATGGTGACCTTTGATCGATGGTTGGAAGTCCAATAGAGCCAGACGAATTGCCCACAGTCCCAGCAAATTGATGCTGGACCGTGCTTCCGTGGGAGATCATCGGCCCTGAGCGACTTGGGCGTCCAGGTGAGCGCCCCAGCCGGACAGACTCACATCTCTTGTCATTAGAAGAGGTTGAACGTCGAAGAAAATGCACCCTTTGTCCAGGGCCGGGGACAGCCACCAATGCAAGGACCGGCGAACCGACAGTGGAACTCTGAGCTTAGCTCGAGAGGCGGCGGTCATAGTCCGTTGGTGCGGGAGTAATAGCCATTGAAGACTGCGGGCATGTAGATGCCAGGCGCCACTTGGTTTTAAGGTCCGCTGGCCATTGTCGCAGCCACAAGAGGTGGCGCGACGTGACCGACGATGCCATAGCTCGAGAAGCGAACTTGGCTGCATTGAGGGTGGCATCGGCTGTGAATTGAGTGGCTGCAATAATTTTATTCAAGTCTTGGTGGACTCTAACATCTTGGGCAGGCAAACGTGTTTGGAGCTGTTGCAGCCACAGCAGGGAAGAACGGGAGAAGAAGGAGGCCGCGGTAGCAGCCTGTATCGCCCAGGCCAAAGCCTGGTGTGTTTTCTTAAAGGAGGAATCGAATTTCCTATCCTCCGGTTTAAGACCTTCAGAAGGATCCCCCGAAATGCAAGGGGAGGTGGAGGACAGGGCAACCACTGGACCATCAACAACAGGTACCTATAAAAGGCTGGTTAAGGAAGCCTCCATATTGTAGTTGCGGCAATCGTAGCCACTGGGAGTGGGGAGAGAGGCCGGGTTAGCCCATTGCTTACGTACAACGTCCGTGAAGAGCTTTGGTGCGGGAACAAAGATCTGCTCTGCGACCGGTTCTGCAAAGATGCCTTGGCCTACGGAGGAGGAAGCAGAAGATGAGTCAGAAGTGGGATCTACGAGACCTGAGGTGACTTTGGCCTTGTGGAGTAGGGACTTGAAAAGCCCTTGTGGGAATAATCCCGTAAATTGTGGAACATCTGGTGTAGTGGTTTCAACGTCGGATACGTCAGCTTCCCTCTGCAGATCTTCATCTATGTCAATGTCAGCACTGCCATGTGACCTGGAGAATGGTTGGAGAATGTTCTGGGGAACCAGTGAGACTAGCAGAAGGAGAAACTCTGGTTCTCCTTGAATGTAAGCTTTCAGAAATTAATGATGCGGAACGGTGCCCCCTTATGCCTGCTTGAATGCCATGCAAGATGGCCTTAGCAATTAGCATTTGTATAGACTCAGGAAGATTTTCCAAATCTGACTTGGGATGTTTATCAGCCGGAGGAACCTGAGGAGGTGCTTGGAGTGTAATAGAACAATCAAATGGGTCACCCTTTGGCCTATCAGGAGAGCAAGAAGAGGCTGTAGAGTGCCTCTCCGGAGACAGGGTCCTAGCTAAATCACCAGAGTCATTGGGGTCTTGATCAAGGTCAGTGCTGATAGAAGGCCTGGATTTGTCGGCCTGGGGAGCCTGATCAGAACTTCTCTGATGGGACTTTTTAACGGACCCTGCTTTGGACATTGCCTTACGGCCCAGTTCAGTCTTGGAAGCCGACTGGTCTGCCATGTCAACGCACAATTGAATATACAGGTGAGATCCTGCACAAAAGGGAAACAATGAAAGGTAATATTAATATTGCAATTAAAGCCAACCCATGCCTCAACATGAGGCTTGAACATAGAGTAAAAACTTGTTCCCTCTATATGACAGCAAAATGGCCACCAGCTATGAGGAAAGCATGGCTTGCCAAAATGGCCACTGTAACTGACAATGGTAGGCAATGGAAGCTGTCTTTGAGTTCAGCAAATTGGTCATAAACAGTGAGGTAAATTTGGCCAAACAAAATGGCCGCCGGAGCTGTTGCTAGGCAGAGTTCAGTTGAAGTACTCAATTTTGCTACCAGTTAAATCAAAATGGCCACGAGCCCTCTATACGAAACCAAATACCTTTTGTACAGTTGAAACCTCAGAAAAACGATAGCCGCGACAGGAGAATGTTGATTCCTTCTCCAAAGGTATAATGGAGGTCTGCCAACCTCCACTCTCACCCCTCAACTGAAGAACGCTGAGGCGGTGGTGCTGGTAAAGCGGCTGCGGCGATAGCTGCGGGAGAGCAGGAACGATCCTCCCCCGAGCAGCGGCAATCAAAAGGGGCAGAAAGGCAGCACCGCTTCCCAGCTGGTGAGCGCTGAGAAGGCAGCGGCGGCAATGACGGAGAGCCCGCGCTACTCCGCTTTCAAATTGCCCTTTGCTGCTCACGCCTCACAGCTGATGGGCGCTGAGGCAGCTGCGGCAGTCAAAACACGCATCGGCGTTTCCAGCCAAAGCTGGGATGGCTCACTCGCGTAGGAGAAGCAGTCGAAGAAAAACGAAGTTCACGCCCCTCAGCTGGTGAGTGCTGAGGCGGCGGCAGCGACGGAGAAGCGGTGGCGGCGTTTCCAGCCGCAACTGAAGTGGCCAGCACGCTCACAAAGAAATGCACGATCACTAATTGTCAGGAGGGAGAGACTCAGAAAAAAAGTCTGGTCAGAACCAGTGAGTCGAATAAACTGGGAGCAATGGAGGCCCAAGGAGGCGTGGCCAAAGCAATTTGACTCACTGATTGGCCAGACCAGATGGATCATCCCACTCCTGACCCACTCTGCAGCCTTATGGGAGAAAAAATATTTATGCTACATTTGTGATTAATTAAATAGTACCTGAGTTAGTAAAATATAGTATCTATAGCACCAATTCTGAAAGTAACTGGATTTTGCCATAGTCTAAACAAAGTATGTGTTGTGTATGTATGTATGCATTGTGTGTGTGTGTGTGTGTGTGTGTATGCATGTGTGTGTGTATATGTATGTGTGTGTAATATAAGTGTAGTATGTGTATATAATACTTACACACACACACTTTGATTAGACTATGGCAAAAAAACTATTTTAAATTAATCAAGTTAAAAATGACTATTAAAAACCATAGCATCCCTTTTGTAAATCATAGTTTATCGTTCTTAATTATTTCTGATTTCATTTTTTAAGATATCTTACTGACCTACATAGACCTACATAGAATGTGATCTTGAAGACACCCAGCAAAGAATGCACTATGTTCTGTTCTCATATTTCAATGATACGTACCTTTGTCAGACTCAAGCAAGAGTTTCGCTAAAGTTTCAGCTTCAGGCATTCCCTTTAGTTTAGTCAAATGATCTTTTAACTGAAGCATGCTTTTACTGATCAAGTGGTGACTTTCCTCCTCTATAAAATCAAAATACTTTTTAACATATTATAACACAAGGCATAAAGATCACTAAAACCATGCTGTTTATGTGTTAAGAAATATTTAAGCACTGTTATATTTGAGATCCATTTTAATTCTTGTGTTTGTATATAATTGTGTTTATACACAGACAACACATGTCCACAAATGTCTGTGTAAAATCATGTTACCTGGAAGTCATAGCACAACTGAAGAATCCCAGTTTAAAAATAGTCTATCAGAACAAGATAAGAGAAAGAACAAGATGGCACAAAAGAATAGTATAAACTTGTATTTCCTGTCTTTATGGAATTTTGGATTGCGATTGGAGAATTTTTTATTCATAAAGTCAAAGAAATATTTTACTTAATGGGGCTGAGGATCATATAGATTTTTAGCCATTTATAATGTACACCTTCAAAAATCACCTTTACAATTTATCCATAATTAAATTACAGTTTTAAAAATATATTTTGGAATTATACTACGTTTGTAACATAAGATTGTAAAATAAGATTTTCCAGGAACACTACATAGGATATTATGCATGTTTTATAATTTTTAAAAGTAAAATAACAAAATGAGAACAACAATTACCTCTTTGAAGTCCTACCGAGTCTATGTCAAGTCTTGGAATTTCTTTTTCCAATGTTAAAGGCTATTGAAAATAAGTTTTAAAAATAGTAAATAGAGTATTAAGTGCTTTTTTGTTATATACAAAAATTGTTAGTCTTTAAATCTGTTGGTCTTTTCATCTACTCTACCCAATTTAATGATTATTTTCTTGATTTCTGTCTATTCTTTATGCAATGGAATAAAATATGAATAGAGAGCTTCTGTATATTAATTTATAAGCAATTGAATATAATATACAAAAAATATGGATTAATATTAAATTCAAAAACAATTTTTGAATGTACTGTTGCATCACAACTTCACACTATTTCTGTGAAGGAGATAGTGTAATCAATTCTGCAAGCGTACACCTCACTAGCCAATTAGTTGAAATCAAAGATGTGAATCTGGCAAACTGGCAACCAGCATAGCTCATAGAACAGCAGTGTAACATGGGCCACTGTAGAAGCCCCTAGAATTGTCTGTGTGGCTTCATTATACCAGCTGTAGCTTCCAAATATTCTTCAAGGGTAACCCCTTGTAATGCATGTTGAAATAGTCCAAGAATGAGATGATCAGGGTTTCAGTGACTAAGTGCAGGCCTCTTGATTCACAAAAGAGCGCAACTGGCACACAACACAAAACTGCGCAAAGGCTCTTCTAGCCACGACTCTTTGAGGAGGAATCACAAGTCTAGGAAAAGAACCCAAGTTGCAACTGAATTTGTCTGATGTCAGCCCTTCAAGATAGTCCAGACTAAGAACACAAACTACTACTACCACCTTAACTGTAAAATTACAGCAACATATCTTCCAAGATAATGGGTATCAACAGCAAACAGGAAATCAGAGGCATGTCCACAAAGTTTGTTCCTACAGAAATGTTTTTAAGAGGGACAAATAACTGTAAAATATTAAAGATTTATCTAAAGCAGGGGTGTCAAATTCAAGGCCCACGATGCTGCAAGCCTGGCCTATGAGATGGTTAGATCTGGCCTGTGGAGCTGCCCTGAAAGTTGCAAAGGACCGGCCCGTGGTGCCTCAGTCCAGCCCAGGCTGACTAGGTGCCAATCTACAACTTGCTGGCAGCCATTCGGTAGGGAGAGTACAATATAAAGCAGGGGTGTCAAACTCGTGTCGTCAGGCAGCGTCATGTGATGTGTCAGGACTTCCCCCCCCTTTGCTAAATTGGGCGTGTGGGTGGCCAGCACGTGACGCATCCGGCCCATAGGCCGTGACTTTGACAGCCCTGATATAAAGTACAACCTCTTGTAAGGTAGAGCGCCATGTTGGTTATTAAAGACATATTATTTATTTATATAAGATTTATCCTTTGTTTAAAATATTTAGAGTTAGTATCTTAATATATAGTCACACTAGCCTGTAAAGGGTCTCTTTCTTGACTATTTCCTGTAAAAGGGCCTATTTCTTTTCAATTTCTTCTGAGGGGCCTCTTTCTCTGAAAGGGATGAAAGGGATATATAAAATATGCTGAGATCTCTAATTTGGTATGGACTTCTACTGTTCTTTGTAAACAGCTTAATAAATCTTACTTCTGGTTGACCCAAGTACTGTGTCAATTTGTTACAAACATATATGATACAAGAAAACCATAAAGAAGAATGAATGGATGACAGCAGAACTAAAAGCTAATGTACAAGAAATAAGTATTGAAATAAGTACTGGGCGGATCATAACCCAATAAAAGTTATATGAAAAGGTCAAAAAAGAGTATTGAAATGGACATTGAAGCAAGAAATATTAAAAGAAAAGGAATGTATTCAATTTATGGGAAGAGAACTAGATTTCTTCTTCAAAGAGCATAGAAAAGAAAAAACATCATTACAAAATGTATGGGAAACAGCCAAAGCTGTGGACTAGTTATAACATACAAAGGAAAGCAAAACAGAAAGAAGAAACAAAATCAAAGAATATTAGAAGAAGAATATAAGATATTATAATTAGAATTACAAAAAGAACCACAAAAAAAGGAAATAAAAAATCAAATGGACTTAATGATACATAAAATGAGCTTAATGAACAAAGAAGAATTAGCACAGAAAATTAAAATTGTTTAAAGTGTTAAACAAAACTTTTCTGAAAATGCTAACAAACCAGGAAGATGGCTGACATATAGGTTAAAGAAAGAGGAAAAAAAAAAGAAATTGATAGATAAATTAATGGACAATGAAGGAGAAATTTGTTACCAAAATGAAGAGAAAAAGAAAGTGATTCAAAACTATTATAAGAAGCTATTTGAGCAAGAGTTAATATCAGAAGAGAAAATAAAACAATATTTGGAAAAAGCGGAAATACCGAAAATACCTGAAACAGTTAAAACAGCACTAGACAAACGTATAGTGATCTATACGTATCTATGATGGAGTTAACTGAAACAATTAAGAAGCAAAAAAATGAACAAACACCTGGACTGGATGATCTACCAGCTGAACTATATAAAGAATTGCAAGAAACCTTGAGCAAGCTAATGTTAGAAGTATTTAATGAACTTTTGTTAAAGGCAAAGGTACCGAATTCACAGATGGAAGCATATATTACCCTCATACTGAAGGAAAAAGCAGACTTACAACGAATAAAAAACTACAGACCAATATCCTTGTTAAATGCGGACTAGAAAATATTTGCGTCAATAATTGCAGAAAAACTAAAATGGTTTTTAAACCAATTCATATATCCAGACCAAAATGGTTTTTTACCTAAGAGACAAATTAAAGATAACATGAGAATAATTCTGAATACCTTGGAGTATTATGAAGGACATCCAGAGAAACAAATGGCGTTGATCTTCTTAAGATGCACAAAAAGCATTTGATAACATGAATTGGCAATTTATGCTACCAGAGTTAGAAAAGATGGATTTGGCAGAGAGATTTGTTAAAATGATCAAGGCAATATATCATAAGCAAACCGCACAATGATAGTAAATGGAGATATGACTGAGAAAGTAAGTATTAAGAAATGCACAAGACAAGGATGTCCACTGTCTCCATTATTGTTTATATTGACATTGGAAGTACTAAATAAAAATATTAGACAAGATACAGAGATAAAAGACATGGAGATTAAAAAAGAACAATATAAATTACAAGCGTTTGCAGATGATTTAGCCTTCATTTTGAAAGATCCATTAATAACAAGGCCTAAATTAATTTTAAAAAATAGAAGAATATGGAGAAGTGACACAGCTGAAAATAAATAAAGAGAAAACTAAGATTTTAGTTAAAAAATCTCACAGAAAAGCAAAGCAAAAAAAAAAAAAAAAAAAATTACCATAGTAAAAAGTGTATATATTCAGATAGTAAAGAAAGTTAAATACTTAGGGATACAGCTGACAGCAAGATGTGTAACAATTAGGGAAAATAATTATCATAAGTTGTTGAAGCAAATCCAAGTAGATCTGAAAAACTGGAAGAATTTGCAATTATCTCTGGTAGAAAGAGTAGCAACAATTAAAATGAATATATTGCCAAGATTATTGTATCTATTTCAGACAATTCCGATAAAACTGGAAAAGAAATATTTTGAGGAGCTTAACAAAATAATACGCAAGTATATTTGGCAAGGGAAAAAAGCAAGAATCGGTTTGAAAATGATGCAAGATATAAGACAGTGATGGCTAACCTTTATGCCATCGCGTGCCAGGAGGGGTGGGTGGGGGAGGGTTGCGCACTCAGGTGCCTACGCGCATGCATGCGCAACCCCCTCCCCCCCCGCTCCTGGCACATGATGGCCTGGTAGGCCCGTTTTTCTTTCTTACCTGGTTCCAGATCCTCTCTGTGTATCTGGGAAGGGCGAAAACACCCTTGGAGGCCCTACGGAGGCTGAAAGGGCCCATTTCCCAACTCTCGGTGGGACAGGAAGTGACATTTTTGGCTGTCCCCAGCCTCCAGAACTTCTCTAGGAGTCTCTAGGAGCCTCTCTAGGAGTCTCTAGGAGCCTCTCTAGGAGTCTCTAGGAGCCTCTCTAGGAGTCTCTGGAGGCTAGGGACAGGAAAAAACGTCACTTCCTGATCCACCGGGAGTCGGGAAATGGGCCCTCTCAGCCTCCGTAGGACCTCCAAGGGAGTGGGAAAGGCTGTTTTCGCCCTTCCCAGATACACAGAGAGGAAGACAGGTAAGAAAGAAAAACGGGCCTTCCCCACCCCGCCCCCAGGCCCTCCAGAGGCAGGAAACAGCCTGTTTCCCTACTTCTGGTGGGCCCAGAAGGCCCGAAAATCAGCTGGCCGGCGTGCGCATGCGCCCCAGAGCTGAGCTGGCATGCCCACTAATATGGTTCCGCGTGCCACCTGTGGCATGCGTGCCATAGGTTCGCCATCACGGATATAAGAAGTAGAGGAGATTTTGGACTACCAAACTGGGAGTTGTACTGCAGTTTTAGCATGGATGAGAGAGTGGATTGTATTGAGGAATATAAGATTATTGACTTGGAAGTACATGATTTACAACTGGGGTAGCATGCAATTTTATGGTATGGGAAAAACAAGATACATAGATATTTTCAGAGACACTATATAAGGAATGCATTATTACTGGTGCGGGAGAAAATTAAAGAACATTATTTGAAGATACCAGTTTGGCTTTCAATGATGGAAGCATTGATTCACCCAAATATTATTAATATGGGAGATATTGTTAGATACCAAGATATTTTAAATGAAGATGGGGGACTTAAAACAAAAGAAGAAATGAGTAAGCAAGGGATCAATACGATAATATAACGTATTCACATGTGCAGATACAGTCTAGATACGAGAAAGATATTAAATTACAGGATTTTTACAAGAGAATGTATATTTAATTATTCATCTATTAACTACAGCTAGAGTTGTATTTGCACAACATTGTAAAAGTGGAGAGAACCCCATTGAAGAGGTGGTGATAAAGAAAATAATAGAATGTCCAGAAATGAATAGATTAACATTAGCAATTAAGGAGAAAGAACAAACTGAATATTATATGATATGGGAAGTATTTTATCAATGGTTGAAAAATAAAAATGGAGTTTGGAAATGAAGGAGACCAAAAATAAGTAGAAAATATATTAAGATAGAGATATAAATAAGATGAAAATTGTTAGTATATGGATGAAGAGAATAATGATATTTGATGTCAATATAGTATTATTACTAAAAGATACTAAGAAGGAAATGGAGAGTTTTACAATATTTATATGTTCAATATATTTAATATATTATAATATTAATGTTAAGATGAATGTGAAAGATGTGATAAATGAGGAACGATGTAGCAAGAGATGTTTGTATCCAGACAGCACTCTGCATAAGGAAAGATGTAATGTTTTATCTTTGTTTTTTTTTAAAAAATAAAAAACTTTAAAAAGAAAACAAAACCATGAAGAAGCAAAAGTTGTGTTAAAATTTTTGGGATTCTATCTTCCTCTTTCTGGCAGCTTGAGTTAAAGGATTAGATCAGAATAATACTGATAGGAAAACACATAATGGTCACCTCCATCTACACTTTACTATTTTTTTTTTAAAAAAAGAGAGATATTATAAAATTATCACAAGTACCTAATTCTTAAATTATTATTGCTGAAATATTCCAGTTTTCATGTGTCTGCTTTCTGCATATAGACTAATTTGAAATAATTTGTATATTGTATTTTTCAGAGTATAGACACTCTGGAGTATAAGATGCACATTAGTTTTTGAAGAGGAAAACAAGAAAAAAAAATCTGCCTCTGCCTACCAGCATCCACTGGTATTCATCCATTAGCGTCCTTGCAGAAATAACAGCCTGGGCAGCTTCAGCACATTATCGCAGCACATTATCGCAGTCTGATTCAGCACAAGCAGCTGATTAGCGGGTGGATCGGCCTCCTGAAATACCCCCAATCAACTATTCCAGGCTGCAGGGATTGCCACAGATCGCCGCTCCATGCCTTGCGTTTTTGGCCTCTGTGTTTCGTGTTTTCGCTCCATTTTAGACCAGTTCCAGGCTGCGGGGATCATCAGAGCATATCGCCACCAATCACTGCCTCCGCATGTCATGTTTTTGGCCTCCACACACTTCATTTTTGGCCTCTCTGCATCGCATTTTTGGGCGGTTCCAGGTGGTCCCTGCCGCCTGGAACTGCCCGAAAATGCAACACATGGAGGCAAAAAATGGGGCGTGTGGAGGCCGAAAACGCGATGTGCAGAGGCTGAAAACACGATGCATGGCGGCAGCGATTGGCAGCGATGTGCTGTGGCGATCCCTACAGCCTGGAACAGATCTAAGACAGCATGTGGAGGCAAAAAACAGCCAAGATGAGGGCTGGTGAGTGGGCGGGGATACGTTTGGTGTATAAGATGCACCCAAATTTTCATCCTCTTTTGGGGAGGTAAATGTGAGTCTTATACTCCGAAAAGTACGGTAATTCCTAACCCAATACATCTTGGTAATATGACAACTGAAAGTCTTTTTTTCCCCCAAAGTCTCCAATAATTACCTTAACTTCAGCTGTGTCCTTCATTTTGAATTCTGGAGAAATTCGCAAAGTTTTCTGTTTATCACTTGGCACATGTTCTTGAGGAGATATAGTAATTTCTTCTCTCAGGCTTTTTGAGTCTGGTGGAAGCATTTCTACATGTTTATCTAAAATCATTGGCAATATTTTTTCCTCATCTTTTGCAGAATCAGGCAATTCCTGCTTTTCTTCTATAGATACATCTTTCCCTGCGCTTTAAGTATAATAAACAGCAATTATTTCCTAGGAAAGATTATAAGCAGCAGTCTTGAATTCCTTCAGCTAGTTCCCAAAGTTCTTACTCAGTTACAGAGGGCACCGGTGTCAATAAAGACTTCTACAACAGTTATTTTATCACTATCAAAGCTCTACTACTTTCTGCCACAAAGACGGGAAATTAGTGTTGGTAGTAGCAAGGAAGGGGAGGGGTTTTTTCTGATCGATTTTATCAATTTAAGTGTCCCCAATGAAAGCAATGGTGCAAAGTGAAGTTTCCCGAGAAGACTAAAATTGAAGTAGTTTTGATTTAAACAGAGTTGACACAAACATCTACACATAACATGCCATTTGGGATCCTTCATTTTGTTACCACCAGTTTTGTTACTTTTTGCATGTGAAGTTCTCAGTGGATACAGGAGAACATTTACAGTCTTACTCAGCTGCCAATGCTCTTCTCAGGTGCAAGAAGGCTCTTCCAAAAGATCACAGACCACTCCAGCAATCAATAATGAGAAGGTGGTAAAGATTGCTCATTAGGCAAAGAGCACGCAAAAATTCTTAATTATTGAAATTATTTTACAAAATTGTCTCAGATTTCTGCACATATTTATGTAGACAGACAGACAGATACCGTAGATAGGTAGGTAGACAAAATGTATATGTATATTTGTAGTTTTATATTTGTGTGTGTGTATATATATATAACTCTGTGCAGTTTGTTCCTGATTTTTAAATGGCTTATATGAATTGATTCATAGTTTATTTAGAAGTTTAGTCTAAATATACTTCTCTTATTTTCTGCATTTTCCAAAAATAATGTTGTATTTAGAACTTTATATTATATCCTAAATCAAACTAAAAAATCCATTTCTCATTTCCTGCCATAATGAAACAAAGGTAAAGAAAGAAGATCCAACAGCTGTGTAATAGTCAGAATAATTTGGTATTGCATAATTTTAGAATTTTTTAGAAATGTAAACTACTCAGGGTAACTTGGTTGAATGGGAGGCCCAATATTCTTAATTTTGGCTGGATTAGACCAGAATCATGTTACATTTTAGAGAATACAATTGGATAACAATAGTTATAACAATAATAATTTCAAACAATTAACAAAAATATGACTGAATGGGAAATAACTTACTCATAGCAGCCAAAGCTCTAATCACCCTTCTTAAAACTAATAGGGTCTTTGTACTAAATAGTAAATTTTTATAAGGCAAGAATGAAATACTTTTTAGATCTGCTTTTAAAGAACCTTCTAGGACATATTTTATCATTCTTCTCCAGGAACTATAGCATATATTAATGTCCCTTGGGAGTTGGGCGGCATAGAAATGCAACAAAATAAATAAATAAAATAAATGTTCCCTTGTGAGACTAAAATAATACCAACTTAAAAGAAAATCAGAGACAGGACTGCCCTAACTGACTCTTTGCTGTCCTCTGAGGCTACCATTACATTTATTATTTATTATTATTATTTATTTATTTATTTCACTTATATACCGCCCTTCTCCCCAGGGGGACTCAGGGCGGTGGACAGCCAAACTTAAAACAAATATAGTACAAAAGTTAAGAAAAAACTAAAATAAATTAAATCATCGGCATTTCCAATTCAAAATCCCAGAATCTAATACATACATCCCAAGTATGTTTGGTCCATAATATTTAAAATACTTAAATGAGCTCAGAAATAATCTAAATTTAATTGTTCCAATCCTTACAATGGAGAATTCTTTTCCCTCCTAAACAATAGCACACATAAAAGAAGGACTAATTCTGCCCTGCCAATCGGCTGTTGACATAATACCCATCCCATAATCAGGGCCCTATGAATAACATTAGGACTGTTCTGCCAAACCAACATGCTAGTTTTAGATGATCTTCACTATAATTTTAAATATTTTATATCAGATTTTTGTTACTTCTTTTTTCATTTTCATGAGCCATTTTGAAAATGCAATTTTAACCAAAGTGGCCAATATACATTTAAAAGTGTTATGAATGAATAAAGCCTAAAAAAAGAACAAAAATGGAAACAATCTTTTTTCAATACAAAACTTTTCTAGTGGTATTTCAGTAGCGTCTAATAAAACTGCAGAACATATTGGAGCACAAAAAATCTTATTTATTCATCAGCAAGACCCGGCATCCTTGTATTGGTTTTATTTCACTCCTCGTGGAAGTTTGGAAATCATTCTTCAAAGATTTTCAGGTATTCTTTTAGGACCTAAAGAGCAATCCGGGATTAATTTTAATAGATTATTCTGATGTGTTATTAACAATTATAATTGTGCTTAAACAAATTGGGATGGAATATCTTTTCAAGAAATACCATTTATAGAAAAAAATGTTTCATTTTCTTGTTGTAATGGAATCTTATCATAAAATCTTTCCCTTGTTTTGATTGACAAGACATTCAAGTTAGGGAATACTCTAATGGAGAAATATCAACTGAAGTCCCACAGAAAAGATTACACAATATTCCCAGGTTGAAATATTAGCTCATAGGGTTACACAAGTTTACTTGGTAAAAAAATCAAGGAGATGTTTCCCAGTCTCTCAAGATCTTGCCCCAGAATATTTTGAATTGAGCTTTTATTGTTCTATGGGATCTGAAAGTAAAGATCTCTTTATATGTCTTCAAGCCAATCTTGATTCTTGTTCTTGGCAACATACAGTATTTCAGAAGAGATTTGCAGTTGCCTTCTTCCTAATGCTGAGAGAGAGCAACTGAATCAAAATCATCTAGCTGGCTGTATGCCTAAAGCAGGACTAAACTGTATAGACGCCTGATTTCTAACCCAGTAACTTCAATGATTACATCAAGTTGGCTTTTGGACATCATATAGCTTCTTTATATGGTATAAGAGAAAAAACATGAAATCACAAAGCATATATTTTACCAACTCTTTTCCCTTTCAGAATAATATAAGTTGTTAAATAAAATCTGGCAATTTAATTTTATTTTCTTATTTTATTTAATGTTTTAGTTCTTTCAGTCAATACCTTCCACAGGTACCAGAAACTATAGTTTCAGACTCTATTTTCTTTTAAAATTAATTTAAATTTTAAATAATGTGCTTCTATATTTCTGGAAAGTTCTAAAAGCATGCCAAAATGCTACCTGATTTTTCAGCAGTGATTTTTCATTTCCAAATAGAGGCAGAGGATTATAGGTAGGTACAGTTTTGTATAGGAAAAAAAAGATAAATATGACCAGAAAGTAATAGTAAAATAAGTTGTCCTATATATAAAAAATCATAATGCTATACTGAAAAATGTTCAATTTCTCTCATTCACATTCATCCATCAAAAGACACTATGGACATTGGTTATTTTCAAACTTCATGAAGAAATCAACATAGCAATCCACACATCCCCAACAACTTAATCTTGTATCTAGCTGTTGGTTGTCTGTAATTATGCTATCAATCAAACTGCAGATATAGGCAATGTTATTAACAAATGGTTTCTAAATAAATTACAATGTTCATAAGGAATTCCTTCTATTCAGCATAAAAGGATGTGCATGTAAAAGCATGATATCCAGTGGTGGGATTCAGCCAGTTCACACCAGTTCAGCAGAACCGGTAGCTAAATTTCTGAGAAGTTTGGCGAACCGGCTGTTGGAAGAAATCTCCATCCAACAGCCTTTCATTTTTCCCACTTTACAGGGTTAATCCTGTCAGGAAGACAGGAAGGAGGCATTCTAGTGTGCCTCTCTGTGTTGTTTCTAGCCTAATCCTGCTTATCTTTATTGCTTAAGTGTTTTCCAAAACTGCCTCTGCAATTAAGCCTTGTTAGATTGTAACAACTGTTAACGGTTCTTGGCAGTACGCCCAAACTTTCTATAGCCTGAGCGGCTTCTCCGGAGGTATTTTTTTCCTTTACTGGTTCTTTTATTCCAGAGCTTGACTTTCTTAAAGGGGAAGAGTTGTTTTAAGCTTTTTACACTATTTTAGTGGTTCCTGGCCTTTTGGGGTGTACTTCCAACACAGCTGAATCCCCTCCCAGCCATTCCTTGCCTCCTCCATTGCCAATTAAGGATGGGAGGGGCCAATCATGGGCCCCTTTTCTCCCTTGATCCGTAATATTCTCTCACTGAACGAGTCTTTGGCTTCTTTGTTTGTTTGTTATTAAAAAAAGGGCTTCAGGAGTGGCTGGGAGGGAAGGGGAGGAGTGAGGCAGGACTGGGCATGGTGAGGAGAGGCCGGGCAAGGAGAGGCACCCCTCAACATGAGTGATGTTGAGTTGGTCACACCCACCCAGCCACATGACCACCCAGCCACACTTATCCAGCTGGTCATAGGGCAGAGAACCAGTTGTTAAATTATTTGAATCCCACCATTGATGATATCATTTGAAACAACACCATTAAACAGCAATGTTCTTAATTATTTTCAAAGGCCATCACCACACTATAAAAGCTTAAACATAAACTTTAATGTATGTATGCTTCATCCACCTTCATTTGTATATGCCACTATTATCTAGTGCATTTTATTGCTTCAATTTCCTAAAACAGTGAAGGAATATGATTTCAGTTAGTCTTCGCTTAAAAAACACAATTAGTTCCAAAGAGCTCCGTTAAAATCCAGCTGAACAAACTGCTATCGGGGGATCTTCAGACCGGAACTATCCTGTTAGGGACAGCGAAGAAGGAGAGGCACCTCAGACAACCAAGAGGAATAGGCAAGTTCCTCAATAGGTCAGAGACAGCTCTTTGGACTGGCGGCGGGGGTGACGACCATTGAAAAATGACCGCTCTGAAGCTGGGGCAACTGGACTAAGCTTTTGTGCAGGAGCAGTGTTTGTTTGAATGGAGTACTGGAACTGGGTGAGTAATTGTCCAACTCACAGATAAAAGAAAATTTTGAATTTGGATATTAAAAGGTGTCCCAGAGCTGAAATGAGTGGCTAACTGGCATTTGGGAAATTCCATGGAGGGAGAAGGACAAAGCAGAGGCTAAAACATAAAAGCCCAAAAAGGTTTTCACATTTACAATTGGATTTGGAGAAACTAAAAATAATAAAAGAAAAGAACCCGAGGAAAAGTATTTTTTATGTGGATTTAAAGTATTTGTGACAGTTTTGACAATTAATTGGCTTAAGAGTATTGTGGATTTAAGAGACATCTGCTGGTGGAAAAAGAGTACTGCAATATTTGGTGGAAGATAGAAGAGAAAGTACAGCTGGGACCTTGACTACCGGAAAAGATAATTTGGAAACTGTGAGAACTTTTAAGGAGTGTTTGCCTTTCTACATTGCTTGGTTTCGATTTTCTACTGCTGTGGAAGATAATAAATTTTCAACTTGGTACAATACATATAATATAATACGAAGAAGAAGAAGGAGGAGGAGGAGGAGGAGGAGGAGGAGGAGGAGGAGGAGGAGGAGGAGAAGTAGAAGTAGTAGTAGTAGTAGTAGTAGTAGTAGTAGTAGTAGTAAAGAGAATGGGATAAAAAGAGAAAATTACCAAGAATTGGAATTTTAGAGACCAAGGGAAAATGGTTAAAGAGGGGGAAATTAGTGGAAAAGAGTGGAAAAAAATAAGGTATATATTAGTAGATTTAAGGGAATTGTATTAATATTATTAATTGTGGATGGTCAACCAAATTAAAGGATTTATATGTAAGATTTGAATATAATGATGTATATTGCTCATAGTAACATAGAATAGCAGATGAAACGTGAAATGGCAATTTGGTTTAATTTTGAAGACAATTTAAATTAAGAGACGAAGTGGAAATGTTAAAAAAGTGAGATGGGGAATTGGAGAAATATATTTAGCAATGGAGAGATAAGATAATTAATTGATATTATTGTAAGAGATTAGGAATTAAGGGCAGATAGTGATATTGCTTATGTACAAAGAAGAAAATAAGATAAAGAAATACGGATAGAGAATATTATGGCTGAAATTGGAAACAGATATGATGTAAAACGGATTTGAAAAGAGAACATGGCAGAAGTTGAAATAACAAGATACGATGAAAAATGATTACTTTGGGATAAAAGATTATATAAAAGAGATAAATATGGAAAAAAATGGGAAGATTACAATAGATTATAAAGATTATTATGTATAAGATGAATGATGTCACCTGGTCAACACTCTGCTCATAAAATATGTAAAATGAAAGAAAAATTCTAATAAAATTTGTTTCCAAAAAAATAAAGAAAAGAAGAGTCACTACAAATTCACTTTAATAAAACTAGTCTGTATATTCCTTAGGAGGCAACAGGAAAGATTGGATTGATCAGCCTCCAAAACCACATTGATCACTGGATTGATCAATCTCCAATCTCTAGCAGAATGGGACATTTAGGTACTGACCCTTGGCTACGTCCCCTTTGCTCCCTGCCACCCACCTTAGTCAATTTACAGCCAGCTTTCCTCCTCCACTTGCCCTCCCCTGGCCATTCTACACTTTTCTTCTTCAAAAATTCACTTGATATTTCTTTATTCCAGTATTTCTCCAATCAAGAAGAGATTTCAATATTATGTTAGATATTTTATTGGTTTGCCACCACAAAATGATGGGAAATTGTACTGTTAAATTTCAACAATCATGCAAAAAAACAGGATTTTACCCCACAAGTTGCTCATTCAGTTTTGGATTTTCTAAATCCTTGAGAAAAAGTCCCTAGATCATTATTTGTCCAGCAGAAAACAGGCAGCATATGAAATACTTTTCTAGCAGAGGCTGGTTTCAAAACCCCTCATTACCGGTTCACTCGTGGATGCGCACGCACTCGCACACACGACACTTCTGAGTATGTGCAGAAGCGTCCAAGTGGATGAGCCAAGCCTCCCGCCACCGCCACTACCGGTTCGCCCAATCCGGGGCGAACCGGTAGCAACCCACCACTGTTTTCTAGGGTCTAGAGTTCTAGCTGATATTTTATATGTTCCTTTATTATGTTGATCTAAAGTAAGAATGAAGAACTATTTTTGAACAAATATGTTACTTACTAGCGTAAGGTAACTCAATTGTGCCTATGTTTTGTTAATGGAACAAGGATCCATAGATGAAAAGATTTTTAAAATTGCCAGTTTTTCTTTAAATTGAAAATCATCTACCTACATAGGTGTACATCAGAATTGTTCTAAGTTCACAAAGAATCCTGAACAGAATTCATTTTAAAGACTATACTATAGCTTAGTATTAAAAAACCTAAACACCATAATGAAAAAGGCAATAACTTTCAGAGCTATTGTACTATAAGAAAAATTGTTTTAGAATTCATTCATCCCAAAGATGCTGTCTCTCTATAAATACTGGTGGGGAGGTGGGGAGTGTTGTCTTTGTTGTTGTAGGCGGGTTGGTTGGCTGTGTTGTTACATCTTGATTAATTGATGGAGTTGATGTTTGCAGATTAGTCGGCTGTTTCGTAACATCCTGTGTGGGCGAGGTCCTAACTGTGTGGCCCATTAGGCTTTTGTGTTGTAACGACCTGGGTAATGGGCCGTGTGGCAGCATCCTGAGCTTGTCGAAACATCGCCAAGATACTCTCAATCTTACACGGGAAAAGACCCGAATACACCAAGATTTGCATACCTGTACCCATGAAAATCTACAAAAACAAATATATATCTCTTATCTAGCTAGCTAGCTAGCTAGCTATATGCAAGTCTCGACATATTCGGGTCTTTTCCCGTGTAAGATTGAGAGTATCTTGGCGACGTTTCTAAGAGGTCCCACTCGTCATCTTCAGGTTGGTGCCTTCAGCTTCGTGCTTGTGGAAGCAAAGCGTGATCGGAGCTGCCGTCTCTCTATAAATACTGGTGGGGAGGTATGGGGTGCTGGCTTTGTTGCTGTGAGCTGGTTGCCAACATCTAAAACAGTTCAATTATTGTGCATTTTTTATAAGTTTTTTGTAGAATCCATATCTGCTATTTAAGCAACTAAAGAATATTGTTTAGGATTGACAATTTACAACCATGGAATAAAAAGTTTTAATACAGTATGTTATCTAAATAAATTTATCAAAAACAATTTTTATATTATTGGACACTCCAACAGTTTTTAAGAAATGTCAATTTTTTTTATATTTAAATGTAATAAATTTGAAGTAAATTTGTCCCAGTTTAGTTTAATATCTATATTTTTATCATTATGTACTGAGAAGGGAATTTATATTTAAAGATATGAATGTATTGTTTAATTATAGTATTACTGAAAATGTTGTCAATTTATAAGAAACTAACATTTTATAAAAATGTGTAGTTGGAAAAAAGATATAACCGCAGGGATAAAATTCTGGCTTAAAGAAATGTTTGTAGTTTCAGTCTGTAAACCGACTCTTTTTTTATACAAATGATGGAAAGATTGACCAACATGACACTTGTAAGGTCAAATTTTGATTTCTTGTTCAAAATAAATTACAGGAATTTAATTACATTTTTTCCTCCAGTATCAAAATATCTTTAGCGGATTCTGATGAAAAACATTTCAATAGCAAAAAGCGCTATTATAATTGAAAGTAAGATCCATACATGTATACCACAGTAACTAAATTATATATGATATTTCTTAGGTATGAGGCAAAAACTTAGTTATTAGCTGAAAATGATTCTAAAGCAGTTGTTCATTATTGAAAGACATGATACCATGATACTATTTTAACACATTATCAGAATTTAATATTTACCCCTTCAGACGTCGGCTCTTCATTTCAGAAGAATCCTTGGGTTTTGGCACATCTTTGGAATCAACCTTTGAAAAGATATATAATCAATTTCTGCATCTTCACATACAAGAAGTTTGAAAAATTTCCTTTATCTTAATGTATCATATCTACTTATGAACTATCATCAAGTAGCCTCATACAAGTAAATAGATTATTTGATACCATTTGTCCAGAATGATATAAATTCTTCTGCCTTGAAAAGGGGATTAGACTATAAAATCTCCAAGGCTCCTATAATAATATTATTTGTGAACAAATTAATATAAAAAGCCTTTATTTGTATGCTGTTAAGAAGTGAGCTTTCTCCCCTATTTAAAGTTCCAATGAATGGAACTAAGTAATTTTATTTTCCAGATTCTTAGAAAATTCTTCATGGCAGTCTTTTAATTGGTCGTTCATCTGTCCTTTCCCAATAAGATCACATATAATGTGGTAAAATGTAGTAAGAACATAGAAATATTGGTGTTTCGCTACTTTTATTATCATAGTAAAGACCCAAACATAAGTTATAACACAACTAGTCAGATCTGCTTCTTTTTTTATGCCTGAGCCCCTGTAGGTGTCTCTTGGTTCATTCTATAGAAATTTTCAGTAAGCAAAATAAACCCTCTGAATCAGAAAATTGAGAGACCATTCAGGTGCAATTTCATATAAAGTCTTCGGCACTTTCACCTAAGTACAACTGTCCACTTCTAATTCGGAAAACTCACAAGTAGCCTTTGGGATCTAAGCAATTTTATTTTATATTTGGAAAAAAACTTAACTCCTTGTACACAAATAGCACAATCCATTAATCAGAAGAGTGGATCATTAATAGATTGGTCTTATTCTCTGATTTATAAACTAAAGGAAGTTACCATCTAAGCTATGTCTTCTGAACAGAAACACGGCTTCATTAGTTAATAGTTTCCTGACTTCCGGTTTGTCTGCCTCCGACGAAAGACGGTCCCTTTCTTAGGACCGCCAGCCCCGCTGCCTGTAGAGCCACTTCGATCCTAAGAAGCGGCTTGAAAACTCCCAAATCTGAAGGATTGGAGGAGGAGAGTGTGCAAGGTGCAGGTTGAGCCCCTGTGAGCCCCCAGAAAATCGCTACTGGGGAGGAAACAGGCGCGGCTCCCTTTCAACTTGCAGAGACTCCGGACGGCGTGGGACGACTCTGCCTTCCGCAGAGCAAGTCGGCTGCAGAAACCATCCAAATTGAATGAAATCAATTTTAATAATTAGTGGAAATAACAACTTGAACCCTCAAATCTGGAAATTGCAAGTATTATTGTTTTAGTGACTTTTTGACTTAAGCAAAAGTACGAGCGAGTGAAAGTGGTTTGGAAAAAATGGCGCCCGGCTTCAGCGTTAACAAGCTGAGAGTGAGAGTGGATTTGTAAAGTTATTTTAATCAGCTACAAAGTTGTGCTGCCTGTAACAAGGAGGAACAGGAGAAGAGGAAAAATTCTTTTTTTTAATAAGCTTGCATTTGCTTCAGTTTAATTCTATCCCCAATTTGACTAAACCTGGGGGATTTTTTTAGAGGACTTTGTGGTGGTGGAAAGGGAAAAAGGATCTCCTTTTTCAGAAAAGCTAATCTACATGGCAGGAAGGCTTCTAAGAAACAGGAAGGAAAGGCAGCAGGGGGGGATCCCCCACACATAAACCTGAACAGCCGCTTCCTCCTGGTCAGCAGAGTCAGAAAAAAGATTTTGATGTTGAAAGTTTAAAACAATTTATTACTCAGGCTCTGGATGATAAATTTCAAAAATCTCAACAGGAAATTAAGCAGGAAATTAATGAAATTAAAAATGTGGTGAAAGAGAATTATGGCAAGGTGACTAATAAAATATCGAATGTGGTGTCTGGCCTGTCAGAAATTATTATTAAAGTGGATTCCAAACTGGAAGAATTTAAATCAGAAGTCAACGTTAAAATTAAGGATACTGACTATAAAATTTCTGATGTTGATAATAAAATGCAGAGAGTTGAAAACGAAATTACGATGATGCAATTTAGGGCCATGGAATTCGCTATAAGGCTTAGAGGTATCAAAGAGAATGATAGACAAGATCTGAGACAGATTTGTGCTGATGCTCTGGCTGTGTTATTAAAAATCAATCCTGAAGTGATTTTTTATAAAATAGACAAAATTTACAGAGTGAATTCCTGGGTGGCCAGGCAAAGACAATTGCCTAGAGATGTGGTGATATATTTTACAGATAGAACAATAAGAAATGATATTTTGCAAAAATCTTTTCTTTCCTCTGTGCAAGTGGAGGGAGCTCAAATTGGAATTTATAAAGAATTACCACCTAAGATGTTAAAAGATAGAAAAGATTTTGCTTTGTTGGTGAATGAACTGAAAAAACAACAAATACCATTCCGGTGGGATGCCCCAACTGGCATAATTTTGAAGTACAATGGAGAAAGACACCGATTGAATACTGTTGAGAAGGCCGAACACTTCTATTTTACTGTTTTTAAAGAGAGATCACCATCTCCACGTACATCTACAGTGTTGGAGATAAAGGAGAGTGACAAGGAGAAGCAATCTCATCAAGAGAAGGAAAAACAGCTTATGCAGGTGGAGCCAGTGGAAGTGCAGGGTGCTACAGGAGGTTTTCTGGAGGAGCCCCTGTTAGAACCTTCCCCAATTTTGTCCACAAGAGATGTGGCTTTGGACCTAGCTCAGATGGCTGAAGCCAAAGATCAGCGTATAGCTCATGCAATTTCTAAGCAACTGAAAGAAAAGCAACAACAGGAAAGACAATACAAAAAGGGAGTTAAGAGTACTATACAAGAAAGTGAAGCCATGGGGGGAGCAAAGCTGAAGATCTCGGAAGATATTCGGCAATTCTGCTCGTCGCTTCAAAAAGATGCAGATGACAATTAAGTTCTTATCTTGGAATGTGAATGGACTGAATTCACCACAGAAAAGGAAGAAGTTATTTACGTACTTGAGACAATTTAATAATGATATAATTTGTTTACAAGAAACTCATGTCAGAACACAAGATCAAAAATACTTGATAAATTCAAAATTAGGAACACATTTTATAGCTTTAACTTCGGAAAAAAAGAATCGTGTGGTCATTTATGTAAATAAAAGACTGTCAGCTAAAATTATAGAAGCAGATGAAGGCGGCAGGTTTATAGCGATTGAACTGTATACGGCAAATGGCCAAATTCTTCTGATTGGAATTTATGCTCCTAACCAACAACAGGATCATTTTTATAAAACTTTGCATACTAAAATATTGCAATGGGATTATAGATCTATTTTAATTATGGGAGATTGGAATGGAGTAATTGATTCCAAATTAGATAAAAAGAGCCTGGCGAAGACAAGGATTAGACTACCACAGACTTTTTTCGACATGAAAGAAGATTTGGAATTAAAAGATATCTGGAGAATATATAATCCAAAAGAATTGGACTATACTTTTTTTTCTGATAGACATAGATCTTTCTCTAGGATTGATTTTATTTTATTATCAGATGATTTACTTGTTAAGACAAAAAGAACAAAGATTTTTCCAAGAACTCTAACCGACCATAGCCCATTATGGATAGAAATTGAGATTGAAAAGACTGAGAGAAGATCATGGAGATTAAATGAAAATTTGTTCAGATATGAAAAAAATATAACAGAACTTAAAAAGCAGATGAAAGGATTTTTTGAAATAAACCTGAATAAGGGTACCCCAATTGAAATTGTGTGGGATGCGAGTAAAGCGTATATGAGAGGGGTACTCATTTATATGAATTCTAAACATAAACTGTATCGACAAAAGAAAAGATCTGAACTGGAAGTAGAAATAAAGAACAAAGAACAGTTACTTATTAAAAATCCAACAGATGAAAGAATACGTGGTGCTATTAAAATTTTGAAAGATCAATTCCAAATGCTTATGGCGGAACAAACTGCAACAAATTTACAATATGCAAAGCATAACACATTTTGTAATGCCAATAAACCGGGCAGATGGTTGGCCTATACATTAAGGAAGAAGGCAGAGTATGCGGACTATTGACAGTATCGATATTGGAGGGAAAGAAATTTCTCAACAAAAATTAATTAAAGAAGTCTTTGTAGATTATTATACCAAATTATACGCTAAAGATGATATACAGAATGGACTTATAGAAAAATATTTAGAAAATAAAAGAGTTACAAAAATTACCAACCAACAAAAGGAAAGAATGAATCATCCTATAACAGTTGAGAAGATAATTGCAGCAATTAAACAATTGAAAACAGCTAAAGCTCCTGGAACGGATGGCTTGACTGCAGTGTATTATAAAACTTTGCAAGCAGAAATGGCGGAACAACTCAGAGACTTATTTTGTAATATACAACAAGGGGGTAAAATACCCCCATCATGGAAAACAGCTTACATTTCCTTGATACCAAAAGAGCAAGTAGGTCCTAAAAAACCAGAGAACTATAGACCAATATCTCTTCTGAATAATGACTATAAAATTTATGCAAAAGTACTAGCCAACAGGTTGATGCCAGTAATTCAAGAGGTGATTCATGATGATCAAGCAGGATTTATAGAGGGCAGATATATGAAGGACAATGTAAGGCAAGTTATAGATTTATTGGAATATCTTGAGAAGAATAAACAGATCCCTGCAGTGCTGGTTTTCTTGGATGCGGAGAAGGCCTTTGATAGAGTGGACTGGAATTTTCTATTAAAGACTTTAAAAAAGATGGACTTTGGGGATCAATTTATACAGGCGGTTTCAGCAATTTACCAAGAGCAAAAGGCACAGATTATTATTAATGGAAGCTTGACAACAGACTTTAATATTGAAAAAGGAACAAGACAAGGTTGTCCGTTATCCCCATTGTTATTTATTTTAACACTAGAAGTCTTGTTGAATACAATACGGGATTCGAATATCTTGAAAGGTATAGTGATAAGGCAAGAGGACTACAGAATAAGGGCATTTGCAGATGATCTGGTTGTTACCCTAACACAGCCGATGGAATCAATAATCCAGATGAAAGACATTATAAAAGATTATGGCACAG